ATAAAGAGCTCACGACTCATGTCAAAATAACTCAACAATAATATTTTTTCACAATAAAAAGCTCACGGCTCATGTCAAAATAATTCAACAATAATATTTTTTCACAATAAAGAGCTCACGACTCATGTCAAAATAATTCAACAATAATATGTTTTCACAATAAAGAGCTCACTGCTCCATCACAATAAGTACGAAAATCTTACAAAAATATTCAAGAGTAAATAATTCAGAAAAATAATATTTCAAAATCTTTAATATGTTGCTTCAATATCAAGTTTAAAAATGTCAAATACTTCATATTAATAATATTTAATTTAAAGAAAATCAACCTTCAAATAATGCACAGAATAAAAGAAATCAAGTTCCAACTAAACAGATAAAACAATTAGCAGGAAAAGGTCAAGCAAATTTAAAAATATAAACATTAAATCAATAATTAAGAATATAACAAAATAAAATAATTTAATTAATGCGCAACAATGATCTACACAATTTAAAAAATAATCTTTCATATTTAGCCCGTGTACACACTCGTCACCTCATGTACACGACTTTTCACATATTATAATTATCAATCCTAGGGGAATTCCGCCCCCCTCCCCTCCCCCACAAAGTTAGACAAGTCACTTACCTCGACTTGCTCCAATTTAACCAAGTATTATGCTTTTTCTTCAATTTTTCCGACTCCGATCGACTCATATCTAGTCATAATTAATTCGATACAGTCAACAAAATTTATTGGAATCAATTTCATAAGAAAATATTACACTTTTCAATAAAATCCGAAATTAGTTCAAAAATTGCCCGTGGGGCCCATGTCTCGAAATCCGGCGAAACTTACAAAATCCGATAACCCATTCAATTACGAGTCCAACCATACCAGTTTCACTCAAATCGGACTCCAGATCGACACCAAAATCTCAAAAATTCATTTTTATGAGATTTCTAAAATTTTCCCAAATTTCTATCTCAAAACACTAATTAAATGGTGAAAACAATGATGTATTCGTGTATATTGACTAAATCCGAGTTAGAATCACTTACCCAAATATTTTTCCTTGAAAATATATCAAAATCGTCTCTCCTCAAGCTCCAATTCGTCAAAAAGGCAAATGGGACGAAGTCCCCTATTTTTATAACTTATAGATTTGTCAAGGACCTCGAATTTGTCAGGGAGCTCGATTTTGTTAGGGAGCTCGATTTTGTCAGGGACCTCGATTTGTCAGGGACCTCGATTTTGTCAGAGACCTTAATTTTGGCAGGCAACTAGTTTTTTGACAGCATTTCCAGCAGAAAAATTGCAGCAGCTAAGTCCCACTTTTGATCCGTTAACCATCCGAAACTCACCCTCGGCCCTCGGGACCTCAACCCAATACACCAACAAGTCCTAAAACATCATACGAAATTATTTAAAACCTCAAATAACATCAAACAATGCTAAAATCACGAATCATGCTCCAATTCAATCTTAATGAAACTTAGAATTTCCAACTTCTACATCCGATGTCGAAACCTATCAAATCAAGTCCGATGGACCTCAAATTTTGCACCTAAGTTATAAATGACATAACGGAGCTGTGAAAATTTTTAAAATTGGATTCCGACCCCGATATCAAAAAGTCAACTCCCCGGTCAAACTTCCAAACTTTAAATTTCTATTTTAGCCGTTTCAAGCCTAATTTCACTACGGACTTCCAAATAAAATTCCGATCATGCTTATAAGTCCAAAATCGCCATACGGAACTGTTGGAATCATCAAAATTTTCTATTCCGGGGTCATTTGCACAAAATTCGACATCCGGTCACTATTTGAATTTAAACTTTTAACTTTTCATCAAAAATTCATATCTCGGGTTAGGGACCTCGAAATTTGATTTCGGGCATACGCCCAAGTCCCAATTCACGATACAGACCTACCGGAATTGTCAAAATACTGATCCGAGTCTGTTTGCTCTAAATATTGACCAAAGTCAACTCAGTTGAGTTTTAAACTTCTAATTCACATTTTAATTCATTTTTCACCTGAAAACTTTTCGGACTGCGCACGCAAGTCGAGGAATGATAAATAGTACTTTTCAAGGTCTTAGAACACAAAATTAATTATTAATTTAAAGATGACATTTTGGGTCATCACACAACTTTTATCAACACAAAATTCAAATACTCAAATCCAATAAACACAAATTCACTAAACACTTGAAACTTTTATCATAAACTATCATGACTAAGCGAATAGCTATTTTAAAACTAATGAATAACTAATTATCGGTGATTAATAACTAAGCTAACATAGATTAAACACAACTAATAATAAAAATATAAATAATAATAATAATAATAAATAAAAAAATTATAAATTATGCTAGACATAAACTAAATACAATACAATTAGAAAAAATAGACAAAGAAAATGAGAATAGGGGTATACCAAACGAGGGCGTTCAGGGTGGTCGCCGGAATTTAGCCGGATTTTTAGTTGCCGAATTTTCGGGATGGAATTGATATCAATAGGTAGGTCTTGATGAGCTCTATCCGTTGATGTAGTTATTCTGGGGGTGGTAGTGGCCGCAACTTCAAGATCTTGGACAAAAAAGTAGAGGCTAAAGTTTCCTAGATCTAAAATTCAAAAAGTTTGAGGGGACTTTGAAGGATTTGGTTTGGAGATATGGAAAGAAGAGGTTGTGGAGATTACATGGTGTGAATTTGGGGGTGCTTGGAGGTTGGCCGCCGCCGGTGGGCGATTTTCGGCGGGCGGCAGCGGTGGTGGGGGCGGATATGGGAGAGAGAAGAGAGAGAGAGAGAAGAAAGAGGAAGAAGAAAAGAATTATGGGGGAAATGAGAGCATTTTTCAGATTTTTGAGGCTTTAAATACCTCTTGAGAGATCAAATATGGACCATTAGATCAAGGGGTGATCAATGGGTGAGATTGATCTTGGGTCACTTAATGAAACGACGTAGTTTTGAGGCAAAACTACGTCGTTTCAGACCCTTTCAAGGGCAGCCCCTTATCTTGCACTTTTGGCCACTTTCCCTTTCAAATTTATCCCAACTTCTTCCTTAATCCTACTTATTAAACTAAATTTACACAAACAAATTAATTAATTAAGTAACTTATTCAAATAATCAATTAACTATATTAATTCACCAATTGAATAGTTAGTTAATTCCTAAAATGCACAAATGAAGAAAGAACTATTTTTTAGTATTTTTATAATAGGAAATATGCAATGAAAGACACAAAAATTGGGAAAAATAATTAAAGTAACAAAACACTAATGACTTTAGGAGGTGTTAAAATAGTGCAAAAATTAGGTATTCACAACAAAAATCACCAAAAGCAAAAATAAAAGATAAAACTTAGGAAACTTAAATATATTTCATCCGGTCTTCTAAATTCAAGTTCATATTAGTTCTTGATTTCGCCATTGTTAAGTGTTAACTCAATGATTAGAGTTTGAAAATGATGGTGATGTTGAGCTACTACTTCATTTTAATGATACTAGTATTAGTAATTGCGCTATGTGCGAATATTATTAAAGAATATTAATCATATTAAAGTACAATCTGATTTGTTTGAGCAAATTAAATCACATGATTTAACAAAATCATAGCTGCTGTTTTATCACACAGCAAGTAATAAAAGTGTTATGTATTAAATTAAAAGAATTATAAAATCATCGAATAGATTTTGATGAAATTCAAATAAGAAGATTAAAACATAGTTAAGAAATTAATATAATATATAGTAAAAACGTGGTTAGGAAATTCTGGTAATACTACCAGCAAGTTCTCCTGAAAATTTTTCACTTTTTTCGGAAAATTTTTACTTTTTTTTTTCCAGAATTAGTGTTTGTGCATGAAATTTTCAAATTACATTTGAAATTGAATTTCGAATTTTTTCGAAAATTTGTAAAACTCCAAAAAGCCGGTTTTCTAAATTTTCATTTCAAATCACTCACAAAAATTAAAAAACAGCTCCAAGTTGTATTCATGTCCAAACACAACTCTAATTTTCAAATATCATTTTTACTTGAATTTTTTTTTATTGTTTTCTAGAATTTCACAATTCTTAAGTCCAAACACCCACTAAATGTAGTTGATGATTTTTTATTATGAGCGGCCATTACTGAAGCTAATGGGAGAGGGTGCGGGAATTGGCATAGTTGAGGTTACATATTATTTTTGCCTATCAGGGTGCATAATTAAATTAATAACATTATTAGAAGATATATAACTTTAGGCAAGGCGTGCATGAGGAAGAAATTTATTTGTACTCAGTATTTATACCCAATTAAATGAATATCAAACATATTTTATGTTTATATACACTTTTATCACTTAATCTTAATTAAAATATATATACTCTTCGATTTATGACTCTTCCAATTAAATTGTTCGATTTAATGGACCAAGATAGAATGGCATTGACCTTTTGTAAACTTGATTATAAATTATAACATGATTGTATCCGTTCTAGGATTTGAATTGTAACATTTTCCAAACCTCAAAGGCCTTCTATGCCTTCCGCTATTTGCCAATCGTGTCGACTAGCCAACACACTCAAGATCAAGCTGATAAAAGATAATCAAGAAAATAATTCAACTTATCTTGTCAATCCCTATTCCGTAGTATGATTGCGATACTCTCAATTTCATATAGCTTGCCTCGAGAATTATTACATATATACTAGAAGTTCTTGCTATTGAATTAATAGAGCATGTTAATTATTGTAAACATATAGGAGCATTAATATCCATTAGACTATTTTCAGTAGACAAACTAGAAAGAATCAGATTAATAAAGGGAAAAGGGCCAGATATTTTACAGATTTTTCTGTCAAAAGATTGGCCAGATTTAATAATGTGGCACTTGTGGTTCCAAGCATCAACACTTGTTTCAGCAACTGTTGCTACCGTGTTCCTCTGAGATGAGTGAAGGAGAGTTTGAAGCAATTTTATATTTCTATTTTCTATCCACTGTTGGTCCTACAATGCCCACATTTCATTCTCCTCTTCTATTGGTTGATGTGATCTTCTTTTCTGATTCTCACATGACTCTCTCTCTCTCTCTACACGACATAATAAAAGACTCACCTTTCTGTGATCTCCTATCTCGTGATATTTCTTTTTTCTTGATTATTTGGCCTTTTCATTGTGAACAGAAAACGTTTTCGCTTTTCATTGTGAGTATCTGCACTAATAATCAGTTTCAAATCTTCTTGTATGTTTCCGAGGCTACATATCAATGATACCGATAAAGGAGGTCCAAGGCCACCTCCCAGGAACAAAATGGCTCTTGTAAGTACAGCATTTTAATGTTCGAATAACCTGAATTGATTCTCCATCCTTGGATTGAAGCACATTGTTGAGTCGATTATACAACCTTTGGTTGGTAAATTGTTTATAGAGGTAAACCGCATATAGATAGAATTTTAGTACTACTTCATAAGCTATGTCAACAAATCAAAACCAACTACATGCATTGACCAATACATCAGATTCTTTTATTGACATAAGTTTCTATGTTTATTGTTTGTCCTGTTTCAGATTCAGAGACTGTTTTCCTAATTGATAAGTTAGCTTATTAACTGCTAGAGAGTAATAGTTTTCCCTGGCTGTAACAACCCAGCATGCAAGTAATATTATCCGCTTTGGGTCTAGGTCCTCGCGGGTTTAAAACACGTCACTAGGTACATACACCCCCTCACTCAACTTCCTTGCACCCACCATCGTCAAGGCTGACACAAGAGTGACTCTGATACCATCTGTAACAGCCCAGCCTGCTAGTGATATTATCCGCTCTGGGCCTCACGGGTTTAAAACGTGTTACTAGGGTCTAAGACTTGTTAACTTATATACCTAGCACCCCTTGTGTTTTTCCGATGTGATACTCTGTCTAAAGTCTGGGGTGTTACACTGGCTTTACTTAATTGATAATGTTCCATGTTTTTCCTTACTAATGGGATGAGGTAAGGACCTTGGTGCTAATGGCATGTGATTTTGCGAATTACAAAATACTTTGGACGGAATATTGATTGATAAGTGCTGAGAATTTGATATAAGCTGTTTCATTTCATCTGCTCACAGAATGTCTTCGTTGGCCATAGGTTGATTGCAATTACAAAACTCCGTTTTCTCCATTCTGCAATTCATCTGAGTCTACTCATTTTGTTGAGATGATTCTCCCATATTCTTCTAGTGGAACGAATTGTACGACGAGACATCCTGATGTACAACAACTGAAGCCTCTAAATCATCAGGCTTTATGTCCTAATCCTTCTCAACCACACAGTTTATCCCCATATAGTGTCGTGGAATTGATTGGACCGAAACTATTCTGGATAGCAAGAAGAACCATAGTGCAGTAAGTCTCTTTAACATGCCTAATTTTTTTTCCATGTATTTCAAGTGCGATGTAATGTAGACTTGTAATCTTGAGGCTTGACACAAGAAGTTAGTAAAGTATTTTTGCTGATGCTAATTTGATTTTACTTTCAGTCTCTGTCCCCGTGCTACACTATACCATATCTTTATCTAAATAACCAAGTAACTAGAACTTTGAACTGCAGAAGTGGTACTCTTTAAATTGGCATAAACACTATCCTTCATATTAAAATGTACTTTGCCAAATTATCTAATTTACGACAATCAATAGGAGGTTTCATGCTACTTTGGTGTCCGCTGGTTCAGTGCATAGGCATTCTTAAAGTAATATACAAGGAATTTGAGGAAATACTTCTAGGACAGAGGTTTTTGCTGTGTTTTTGGCCAATTATTAGTCATTTTTTTTGTCTGTAATGTATTATTAACTTGCAGTTTACTATTTTCAGTCGGCAGCGGATCTTGGCGATACAAGTGTTTGAACTACACAGGCTAATAAAGGTACTTCACATTTTTATGGGATAACTGACCTCTGGCTTTGTTGCCTTGAAGAAGCAAAGTTACTGTTAAATGTGGTCTAGCTTTTAATCTTTTGGCGAAACACTAAAAGTAGCCTGTGACCTTCATTCAACTACTATCTTTTTCAGGTGCAGAAGTTGATCGCCGCATCACCAGATATATTATTTGAAAACAACTTCTATCTCACCCAACCTTCTATCAGATCTTCAATGAAAAAGTTGCTATCCAATAATGTTCACGAACCTTCTGCAGTGGCTGTTAAAGCAAAGGTTGATCCTCCGAAACCTATAACTTTTGAGCATTCAGCGGATAATAATGCTCACGAAAATCTGCTTACTCTCGATAATGAAAATGATAAAAGACACATACCACAGCAGGCAACTCAAAATTCATACGTAGGGACAACAACATCAAGATCTGTTGCTTCTGATTCCAAATTAGCGCCTCGGTGCTACCAATTACCACTTCCTGGAAATCAGTGGTTAGTTCCAATAAGGTCACCTTCTGAAGGACTTGTTTACAAACCCTATACCGGACCTTGTCCTCCCCCTGCTGGTCTCGTGGCATCAACTTATGGTAATTTCACGCCTGTGAACTTGTCTGCTGTTCGAGGAGACTTTTCAAAGTTTCAAAGTCAAGTAGTTGAGGATCACAATACCGAGCAGCGAATTCAAGTGATTAAGGTTGTGCCTCACAACCCTAAGACAGCACCTGAATCAGCAGCTCGGATATTTAGGTCCATACAGGAAGAAAGGAAACTACATTTCAGCCTTACCTTATAAGGAATAGGCCGTTTATGCTATTACTATATGTTTTCCTTTTCTATTTCCTTCATCATTTCTTTTAACAAAAGACTACTGTAAATGCATTCAATTGAAAGCAATAGAAGTTAACTTCATTCTTTTGTATCATTGACTGAATTACTTGTGGATGTAAAAAATGGGATTGAAGATATAGGACAAATGTCAATAATCTTAAAACTATTTTCTGACTTCTCTGCAAATATTTGCTCTAAACTTTGTGTCGCATATGAAGTACCTCTAACTTCTGGTACTAACCAAGTTTACCTTGTTGTACGATTGTGTGAAAGTAATCAGCATGATATTAAGGCTTTCAAATAGCTAAACATTGAAACATGCCTCTCGTCGTCGTCATTTCCTTTGATGCATTCTCCTTTTCCTTTTTCCTCTATCTGTCCTTTTAACCACCTTTACTAGGTGCTTACATATTAAGAACGTCATAAAAATTGGGCCTAATTACTAGAGAATCAAATTCAGTAGCACTAATCTTTCCTCTATGTTAAAGTTGAAACGAGTAGTAATACCCCTAGTCTGATCTGGCCTCCTCTCCGAACATGACAAACTCCTCTTTGACTTAAGAACAGTCATAGAAGAATCATATATATTATAGTTACGATATTGTGTTTGACTTTCCATCACACCAAAAGTGATTTGGCCATTCCACAAGTGGGAGAAAAATATCAGTTATATTTCCAGCTTCCTTTCACTCTTTCACTGTTTACCTTACAATGTCAGAAATTTATGTTCTACTGACAAGTTAACAATAGAGTTCTGAACTCGGAAGTCCACAAAGAAACAGAATGTTTGCAAACTTTTTGGTTTGTACATGTTTATATGTGCGCCTTAGGACTACGATATGAGAATACCAAGTCGTATGAAAAAGCACTTAAACAATATGTCATTTTGGGATATAATGTATTTTTATACCTGGAGCATTTTTCTGTCAATGGCATGCACTACGGATACTATCTGGGGCCGAAAAAATATCATATCATATCATTTACGAATGACTCAAGACAATTGAATGATTCTCAATGCATAGCTTTCGTTTTCGAGTCGATGGAAGCAGAATTTCTCTTGAATCTTCATAAATAAGAGTACCCTGCTGCATATTGTGCAAAGCCCAAAACCCAAGTTAAACAAATAGCGCAATACAAAAATCAAGTAATTAAAGCGATAATTCGTCCAATCCACAATGGAGCAAACTGAAGGGAGAAAACGATTCCGCAGAGATATGAATCCTATGCAGTACTCCCTCCTGTCCAAAATAACTATCGTTTCAGCTAAAAAATAGTTTCAAAAATGTTACTACTCATTTTCCAATAGTAGCACTTTCCAATAAGAAATGAATTAGGGTAATATAGTAAGTTACATCTTGTACTTAATGTTTTTTTAAAGTACGTGTTTTGAGCTAAAACAACAGATAAAATGGGCCGAAAGGGACTAGACGTTAAAATAGTGAAACAGAAATATTTTTAAAAAAGAAGAAAAAAATCCGTCAGAATAGTTGAACTTTTGAAGAAAGTCTGGAAGATTATTGTACCAACTTGTGTCCATATCTCCAAAGTTGTAAGAATCATCAGATGACTGTACATAAAAATCGAGGTCGGCTCGTTCCAAGTTAGAGGGATCCATATATCAGTTGAATTTCTTAAAATAGGACATTTTGTTTAATTGCCAAGTTGATCACAACTTATCTTTGGTCACAACTTTCCATAAAAGTTAACAACGAAATTAATACTCCAAAGTTAAAACATGGTATACTTTGTTGGACTAAGTGAAGGGTAGTTTTGAAGATTGACAAAGGAAACTCAGACATAAATCAGGTCCATCACTGATAGACATAGATACGGACAGATTCAAAGCACGTGAGATGCACATGCAGGAGATAAACGAAATCTAGCATAATAATAGATATCTCCTGATTGAAAAGATTGCATAAATAATAAGGAGAAGGACTCCTTACCCAACGAGAACATTATCCAAGATAAGGGAGGAGTTAGAGGTTGAGATCAACTAGAACTCTTCCACCAAGGAAGAGTGATATTAGAACTCTAGTTGTTTTCTACTCTACTAACTCTATAAATCGCAGGAAGTTCTCATTCTACATGTAACGCATAGAAGCAGAAGTTAAGCAAGAATTGAGAGCAAAATAGCGAGACAATTTTGAAAGCAGTTCGAGTGATATTTGAGTGTGCGAATCTGACGCTACTTGAACCAGCTAGAAGAACCAGTTCCAACTGTTGTCTTTTAGTCTAGTTATTTGTAGTAGGTGGAAAAATCCTACTGGGAAGTAGGTCGTGGTTTTTTCACCTTTTGAGCAAGGTATTTTTCAAGTAAAAATCTCTGTGTTCTTTATTTTTTGTACTTATTATTCCGTAACAGTAGTAGTTGGAACACATAGAAGAAGCAGGTCCTTCTATAATCTGTGCACACGAAAAATTGGACACACACAAATCACCCCCTCCCCCTCTTGTGTGGTATTGACGTATAAAACATCAATTGATATCAGAGCAGGTTATCCTTGAAGAGACTAACACCTTAGGAGAAGATCAAGATGAGTGCACCACCTGGAAATCGGGAAGGACAATCCACTGCTAGACCACCACTCTTCAATGGCCAGTACTACTCCTGGTGGAAAAACAGAATGAGAGACCAAATCATAGGAGAGGACTATGAGCTATGGGACATTGTCACTGAGGGTCCCCTGGCTACCATGAAAAAGAATGCTGAAGGAGTAGATGTGTCAAAAACAAGAGCTGACTGCACTACTGAGGACTTGAAAAAATGGGAGAAAAATGCCAAGGCCAAGAAATGGCTCGTGTGTGGACTTGGTCCAGACGAGTACAACAGAATTCAAAGATGTACTACTGCTAAGGAAATTTGGGACACTTTGCAAGTGGCTCATGAAGAAACACCCCGGGTGAAGGGGTCCAGAGGAACGTTACTATATTCTCAATATGAGAATTTCACTATGAAGGAAGGAGAAACCATCCAAGAGATGTATACAAGGTTCACCATACTAACAAATGAACTTAAGTCTCTTGGAAGGGTCATTCTTGAAGAAGACAAAGGTGAGAAGATTTTGACAAAGGTTCTGCCAGTCTAATAGGAGAGCAAAATCACTGCTATTCAGGAGTCAAAGAACATCACCACTCTTAATTTGGATGAGCTAATTGGAAATCTCACTGCTTATGAACTTAGAAGGCAAATCATGAAGATGGATGTACCCAAGAAGGAAAAGAGCCTCGCACTCAGAATCACTGAAGGTTCTGATCTAGAGGAAGATGAAATGGCTATGATCACAACGGACTTCAAGAAGTACCTAGTGAGAGGAAAGGGTTCTTCAAGAAGTGGAGGCTACAACAAACCAAGGGTTACTGAAAAATAGACCAATGAGGGTTGCTACAAGTGTGGGAAGACTGATTATCACATCAAGAACTGTTCTCAATGGGAAATAAAATGGAAGAAGGAAAGAGCTGAACGAAGAAACAGGAAGAAGGAACAGGTTCATCCCAAGAAAAATAAAGGATCAACAAAGGCTATAATTGCTACTTTGGGTGAAAGTTCAGATGAGGACTCAGATGATGAAGATGGAGATGAACAAGCACTTATGGCAATTGGAGAATCTGACGAGGAATCTGAGGTACTATAGTTCATGTCCAGAAAAGGGAAGGAATTCGTTTCCTTGTTTGCTTTTATATATGGAATTTTCTTCTTTTTTTGGCTGAGAACATATGGAAAGTTATGACCAACTCCAACTCGGAATGGGAATCGTAAAGAACTGTGACGGAATAAGCTTAAATTCTTCTTTAAAATTGAATTCATGTCAATTTAGGATTTATAGTCAAAATTTTATATGAATAAGTTTCCTAGTCAAAGTAAGTTTGTATTGTTTTAAATATAGGTGTTATTGATACTCCTATATAGCCATTGTTGAATCATTCATTCGCGATCAAATTACTTCTTGTGTGCTTTGATTTCCCTTCAGCAAATTATGGTGGAAACAATAGGTGATGGAGACGACAGAATATCAGAGTTGCCTATACACATAATTTATGACATCTTACGTCGGATTCGTTACCGCTACGGGCAAAAAGAAGAAGCTCGAATTTGCGTTTTGTCTAAGACATGGAGTTCAATTTGGAGATTGCGACCTGACGTAATAATCGATCAACACAACCACAAGAATTTTGTTAATTTCGTTGATGATTCCTTGCGGCCGTATGCCGAGCAAAACTTGAGGATTGAAACACTGAGCCTACAAAGTCTTGATCTTGATAAACATCCGGAAATGGCTTCTCATATTGATCGCTGGTTAAACTTGGCAATTAAACATAATGTCAGATCTCTAGAAATTTCTCTAGCGTGTAATTTGAACTATAGCATACCCGATGCTATTTATGCAGCTAAGACGTTGACTGAATTATTGCTACATGGGTGCAACTTTGAAATTGATAATAGCACTACCAACAAATTGCAACGATTAATTAGTATGTGCCCGTTTATAAGGGATCTAAATATAAGTAATTGCACGGGGATTAAGAATTTGTGTGTTTCTAGCCTAGTAAACCTGGAGATATTGGAGCTATGGCGGTGTGAAGGACTGGAAAAGTTGGAAATCCAGGCTCCAAATCTTCGAAAATTTATATATGGTGGTGTGCCTTTGCACAAGTACCAGCGGACACGTGAACCAGAATTGCTGCCTTGCAAAATTAATATATTAGATGGTTATAAGACCCTACAAATTCTCAAATTGGAAGCTACCACCATGACGGACCAAGAGTTTGAATGTCTATTGTCTAAGTTCTCAGCCCTTGAAGTTTTGGAACTCGAGGGATGCTATGTAATGAAAAATATAAAAGTTGTAAGTGAAAAACTTAAGAGTTTCACCTTGTGGAATTGGACGAATCAGGAGCAAGTCAATATGATGGCTCCAAATCTTATGGAATTCAAATTTTTCAGTGGCAAAACATGCATGCCCTTCTCAACTATGGATCCTTCTAACCTGGAACTAGCCAATATTATTTTTTATCCAGATTGTTCAAATTCTTGGAACTTTGGAGATATGGAAAGAAGTTGGTATAGTAATCTTCAAGACTTTGTTCAAAAGTTCAACTATTCGAATGGACTGGTATTAGTATTTTATTGCAAAGAGGTATTAATTCTTTTTCTCTCTTTCACCGGTATTATTTATATTTCTGTGTAGTTGGTTTTTTCCCTTCAGTTTTCTCCATTATATATTAAACTTTAATTATTGATTTACTTGATTTATCCATTCGTCTACCTGTTTATTCAATTAACTTGGCTTGGGCTTTGTGCAATATATGCAGGATAAGAATATTCTTATTTGTGAAGATCCAATAGAAATTATTGTTCCACCAACTCGAAAACTAGAGCTATGGATTAAGAATCCTTGGATGTATCCTGAAAAATTCGCACATGATTTGATAACGCGGCGCCCTAACATAATATCTATTGTGCCATGTACCGAGAGCAAAATGGTCCAGGTATAAACCTTACATTACATTATACTACCCTAATATTTTTATATGAGATGAAATTCTCACACGGTCACACCTAGTTCCTAGGCGCACATATGCACATGTAATTAAAATCCAAAAACATTATATTGCATAATTGTTTCATTATCATAAGAATTTGACCTATGATTTTATATTGTTTGCATAGTACGGTTTTCTAAGAGAAGACATGTATTGAAACCCCTTCATATATTTTGAACCATCTTTTATATATATATCTAAGATTTTCACAAATTTGAAATAACAGGTGTTCCATGAAAGAACAACAAGATACATGGAGAAACAAAATGGAAAACTAAATGAAGTCATTCATCACAAAGGCGCAGCTGAGGATGGCGGAACGTCCCGGTTCTACTCTTGGCTGAACTCCACGCCCCAAATTGAACGGATTACCACTTTTATGTTTAAATGGAAGGAACCTCCTTTCACCTAGTCTTTTTTTTTTCTTTCATAATACTAAATTACTAATAACATCCGTTTGAAGTCTCTTGTGATTAATTTGCAGATTTTCTTACTTTAGTTTCTCATGCTAATTCATTCACTGTTGTTTATTTCGAATGTGGGGGAACTCATCAAATTATTTGTCATTTTGAAGAAAAGAATCACTAACACTGGTTTTGCCCCTACTACAATCTGATTTCCAACTAAAAACACATAACTCCTACTAAAAAGCACATAAATCATGTTTACTAGTGCTACTATTGATGTTTTTACCGTACTCTTTCTAGAGAAGCAATTTGCATGTTGTGCCGTGTCCGGGACATTTGCATCTGTTGTAGGAATATTGGAAATTTGGAAGTTGTGTACGGGTAGAACCGAGCTCGCTGTTTGATCGAGCTTGAGAGACAGAGGGCCAAGGGTCGGTACATCTGTAATAGAGTAAAAATCGAAGTCCGAGTTTTGATCTGGCATCCAACATGGTCACCCGAGGGCGGGATATAATATTCAAGATCGGACCCAAAGCATCATCAAAACTAGCCATCGAGATTATCAGATTTG